TGGGATGTTCAAGGCTTGGGAAATCTTTTTGTAGCCTAAGCCTGCTTTAAATTTCTCAATAACTTTATCCCTGACCTGTCTGGTGTGTTCTTTGGACTTCATGGTGTTGTTGCTCCCAATATTCTCTTAGACAGTCACAGAGCAGCTGTATTTGTACTGACATTAGATGACACACAGGTGCACTCTATTTAGTCATTAGAACTCATCAAGTAAATTTCTAAGGGCAACTGACTGCACGCAGACCAAAGGGGGCTGAATAATTACGCACACCCCACTTTGGAGTTATTTATTTGTAAAAAATGTTTGGAATCATGTATGATTTTCGTTCCACTTCTCATGTGTACACCACTTTTTATTGGTCTTTCACGTGGAATTGCAATAAAATTGATTCATGTTTGTTGCTGTAATGTGACAAAATGTGGGAAAGTTCAAGGGGGCCGACTACTTTTGTAAGCCACTGTATAAATACAGAATATATCATATGGATATAGGGCGCTATGACCAAAATCTCATATCCCGATATAAGACATTTATTGTCCTGACAACGATATAAATCACAAAAATTTAACATTTTCTGTAAATTCTGTGAATCTCGGGCAGCTCGACTGGCGTGAAGTGTTTTCAGCTGGGCGTCATGTACCTGGAGTCCAGTGTTTTAACCGATGCATGAAATTGTACATTTTTAGAAATAGGTTGTAACGGCTGCTGTTTTCTTCGTGGGTATTTATAACATGGCGTGCTGCGGGAAAAAGGCTGTTCTAAAACAAACAACTAAAGAATGTAAAACATTCCCTCCAAAAAACTTGTAGATTCTAAACAAGCAAGTCAGTCCGTGCATGATTACATTGCTTCGCCCATCAAAAAGTACCTGAGACAATATACCGCCTATCATCATTTATTGGACTGACGAATGTCAGTTGGAAAAAATTTACAAATCAAATGAGAAAAAGGGAAGCAAAGATTGTAAAGTGCACATGTGTGTTAAACCAGATCAAACGGATACTGTGTAGAAAACTGTGTGATAGCCGATTTACATAAATAGTAGTGAAGAATCACACACTGACACAGGTTAGCTGACAGGTCAGACTGAGTGTGTTCGTGCATAGAGACACACACACACAGTGAGAGGGAGATTTACATTGAGAGCTGAAACAGGAGAAGCTGTACTGAATCCAGATCTGATTGGGATTCACAGGCTGAGTTCTGTGTGCACGGATACATTCCTGCAGGAGGAGAGGGGAGGTGTGGAGGTGAGTGGGAGTAAGAGGATGACTCCATTCAGTAAAAATCTTTCTGTATTTTTTTTAAGAGAGTGGCGCTGCGCCTTCCCCTTTATCAGCATCAGTGATGACATCAAAACTACATTTTGGGGGGTCTGGGTGGGGGGAGTAAGCTACCAATGAGCTACCGACTAGCTCACTGGTTGTGTTGCTCCTGTTTGTCGTTCAGAGAGGAACTTCTCCTATCGGTGATGTACTCAGCTCTTTTGGGCTGTAACGCTAGAGGGTACTCCCTCTTGGCAGCAGCTTTCATCTTAGTGAATTGCAAGGTGAGGCAGGTGGAAAATTTGTTTTAAGTGCTGCTTACGCCGAGTTCACCATGGCAGCAGAGCAAAACAAGAATTAGCATGACTCTGTTATCAGAGTGAGGGAGAGCAGCTGAATGCTTTCTTTTTTTCCAAGGTTTGAATGAACTAATAATAATTTTATATAATGTCACAGATGATCAGTTTCCAGATATTCCCCTGGTTTTATGATATTTTTTTTAATCTATATTTGGCTTTTTATGAATAAACAGAAATGCACTGCGATTTGTTTGCTTAAGGTTTTTCAAATGATCTGAATATAGATTGATACTGGGCCCCAGAGAGTGTGATTGCCAGTGTGATTGCCAGATTTGTCAGTATCAGATTTGTATGTAATCTTTAATCAGTTCTGCAGTGGTTTTTAAGGTATTTAAACACTGCTGAGTTGCAATGCAAAGAATGCAAAAAAGAAAATACATGTTTCACATATTTAGTTTATTATTAATGATGCCATATTCACTGTGTCTCCTACAATAGATCTTGTATCTACCAATCAGAAAGCAACACCAGTCTCAGCCTTAATGGAGGAAAAGCTGAGTGGTGTTGTGACAGAACAAAGGAAAAAGTCCAGATGACAGCAGGTGACACATTCCCACTATGCTGACATAGCTGGTCAATTGACAGCTCAAGAACACGCCCTTCCTGCTGAACACCGATAGTGCAGCAATGATTGTTAGGAGGAAGGCTTGTGTTGCCTTGGTGATCGCTGCCATCCTCTTCCTCATGATTGCCAGCCAGAGCATTCAGAGGAGGTATTTCCTGTTGCAGCCTGCAGCTCCGCCCAGAGGCCACAGCACGTCCAGTGGCAGGATGACAGGTGAAGAGCGGGTGTGAGAAATGAATGTTTGTTTTTTGTTGTTGTTGTTGTTGTTGTTGTTGTTGTTGTTGTTGTTGTTTTTTAAGTATTGATCCACAAGGCCTGAACTTTTTTCTGTTTCCAGCAGCTGAATTCACAGGCCCAATTTCAGGTCAGGCACCTCCTTACCTGAAACCTGAACAAATTCCCACCAAGGAAGAGATGGTTGAGGAAGAAATTGACGAGGAGGAGGAAGAGATGGTGATTCAGGAGCAGCTTATGAAAAACGCTAAGTATGACATGTAACACTTGTAACCCTGCATATCCACTAATACCCTGGTCTTACACCTGTGTTTTGTACTCTTTCAGGCTGTGTGGCTGCTCTGATGCCTGTATTTCAGACAACAATGGGTCGAAATGGTTCAGCCAGCGCTACGACGCTAAACAGCAGCCCATCATCAAAGAGACTGGCAATAATTTTGACTCTGATGCACTTCAATGGTGGCTGGTAAGGACAAAATGTAGTGATAGTTCAGATTTTATTAAAGGGGACCTATTGTCATTATTTCCAACTCTACATTTTTATTCTTGGACTAGATAGTTTTGCAAGATTCACTTTTAAAAAATGATCCTTATTTATCCAATACTCCACCTTAGTGTAGCCCCCAAAGGTCTGAAGGTCGGTCTGAAACAAGCTGTTTAAGCTCCTTTCCCTTTAAGTTTCCTTTCTTTTGAATGATTGTTCCTTTTTAACCAGGAAATGTGAAAAGCAGAACTGTGGCTTTTAAATGGCCAGCAGGGTCACTAACTCCAGTGGCAGTGACTGCTTTGTTTACTTAAACTCTAAATCCAAAACACTTTCTGTGAATAGTGAATAAAACAAGAGTTTTTTGCAAATGGTAATGTAATGTCCAAATTATAAACTTACCGTGAATTATCAGTGTTTTTTTATTAAAATAGTACAGCAGTATTAGTAATGTCTACTTAAGCCACAGTACTGTCTTCAAAGTAATGCATCATTTGTTAATTCAACTTTTGTAAAGCTTTTTTTTAAACTACATAAATAAATAAACAAGGCGATTTTTTTTTTTTGTTTTTTACAGTAAATGGCTTTTATTGCAAGTAAGTAAATAATTACCAAGTCATTTACAGTTTTTCCCTTTATTTCCTTTGCTTTAGTTTATGAACAAAGAAGATTCACAGGAAATCATTGCAGCCTTCAAAGTAGGGCTGCTCAATTAATCGAATTTTAATCACGATTACGATCTGGGCTTTCAACGATCATT